TCGCCTCGAGAATAAGAACGAGGAATTCGAGCGCGCATTCAATTCGCGCCTTGCATTCATACATACTCTTGCAATCTGCATAGATGCGCTCGCGCGATAAAAATGTTTCTTTCAATTAAATCCAGTTACGTTGCCATCGTCGTTTATTTTTAATTCGCCTCTTTTCGCTTAAAGAGAGTGCACTTCTCGGAGTTTTAAGCGTACTTCTCTTCTTGCGAAGTGCACTCTTTTCTCGACTGTTTCTAATTGAAAATTACTTATCTCACGACGACGAACTTCGTATTATCTCTACTTGGAAATCGAACCAGTGTTTTTTTTAATTGCATCATCGCTGGAAACGGCAAATCGAAGCAAAAAAAGAAGAAGATATATTTTCTCGTGAAAATCTTTTAATGGCTATCGTTTAAATTCAAGGGAATGATTTCGTGCAATGCAACGTTAAATTAATCGACGACAAATGCCTGAAAAGTCGTTTGCAGAATGAAATTACTGTCACGAAAGATTGTAGGCGAATCGTCGACGTGGTGGGTTTAAGTCGATGCTTTTTGACGCGTCATTCCTTTCATGTCTTTCTTCGTTTATAAGAGTTAGATGAGAGACCAAGAAGACTTACATAGGATTCTCTAAACAAAGTTTTCGATACGAAGTAAAAGAGAGATGACAGACGAATAAATTTACGAAGATACATCGACTTCGATTTTCTAGAAAAATTTGACATTTGAGATTTTGTAAAAAAATGTGATAAATATGTAAATCGAAATGTAATAATCTACTTCATTTTCGTAATTTGCTCTATGAAATGTCAAATGTCGCTCCTTTGCATATTAATAAAGTTCGAATTTGGATGGTCAAACTGCTGAAAAAGGCGAGGATTTATTTTCCAGCCGCGAGAGAGAGGTAATTACAACTAGGCTTCTGCGAAGTCTCTCGTTGTGGAGTCTTTTAAAACGGATTGCGGAGCAGTACAGCGTGAAGAAACGAGTTTGTTGTTGCGCGCTGCTTGCGCTTGCCGTTTTGACACTATACCGACTTGAAGAATGGCAGCTTCGTTGCTGCCATTTACGACGAACGGATTCGGATACGTGAAATTAATGAGCGCAAAGGAAGGAGACTATTGTGCGGCCAGGCCAGTATATGTCGCGAGGCTCGCGACGCGACGTGGGCGAAGATTTCGTAAGGCGCGGTCTGACCATGCACGAGCGGAAACTACTGCGTGACTTAAACGGTGAGCGCCGCGACCTGACATTTACGCGCGAATGACACACGTTGTTCTTATCAGTCTTATCGTGGGTAATCTCCAGAACGTTGTTCAACGATATCCCGGGTTGTGTAATCCGTCCTCGTCGTTGAATCGACGAAAGGAAAATAGCCATTACTTCGAGGTATATTTTTAGAGCCACATATAGCCGTATCAAAGCTGTCCCCGATATCAATTTTTATTTTTTATATTTCGAATGCGAAACGCGGTAGCAAAAAATTAGGAAGAGATCGACAGAAAGAGAGAGACAAGAAATAAATTAGCCGATTATACGTGCGAGATAAATAATTGATCAAATGAAGATGTGTATGTAAACGAAAGAAGCCCCCGATTTTTCAACGTAGAACACTGCGTAAGATGGGGAAAAAAGGCGCAAATTAGACGTCGAATTAATGAGGCCGGTGGATTTTGAAGGGAATGCTCGAATATATAAATGTGTAAACGGAGAACCGCACACACTTATGCACCGTAGGTGTTGTGTAGTATACGTCCACGCTCCGCGCGTCGTCGGGATTCACTGCTGCGCCGCGTCGATCCGCTTCGCGCGCGTCAAGCCACGCGCGCGACGAACGAAGAGGAAGGGGAATGGCTCTCCGTCAACTCTATTACACATCGGTGGCTTTTTGGAGCGGTGAAGAAAAATGTGTAATTAAAGCATAGCTACCTATGTAGCCGGCGAGCGTTATGCTTTAGCGGAACGACGATGAGGGAGGATTATGCGCGCGCGCAAGCTTATAAGGTGTCTGATTATTCGGATATTGCCGCGAAAAGAAATTCTCCGAGGATTTTTTTTTTTTTTTTTTTTTTTAAGGGTTGTGACACCATGAAATGATATTAGGTACTTAAAAACAGGTCACTTTTGTTCGCGAAATTATATATCGAGCTGCCGGCTTGGACATGTCGGTTTAATCTTTTCGTAGAATTTTGACAAGATTTATAATTCGCGGTAAAAATTCAAGACAGAAATCTATTTATAATTTTATATCTTACATCTCTCATTTTATCTATTGTATACTTTAATTCTTTGAATAACGATACAACATTCTACATTTTTATTTCGAATTATGCACAGAGAATTTTTTCTTAGAATTTACTTTGAAAATCATAGTAATCGTAGGACAATATGGTATTGGAAGAATTTTATAAAAGCTTCTATCTCTCTGATTAATATCTACCACAATAAAATATAAAACATGTTCGATTAATTTTACTATATATTATTTTTTATTGCGGTGAATATTAATATTGTCCCACGATTACTATGATTTTCAGGGTAAATTCTAAGAGAAAATTCTCTCGTGTACATTATAATAAATTATAGAATCAAAATTTTCAAACTCATCGCAGAGTTCGCGTGCGAGTCCGATGCAAGGTGGCTCGTTGAAGAAATCTAGGAATAAAAAAATGAACATATTATCAACCCCTTCGAGACACGCGACATGTAATGCATTATGCTTGAGAAAGTTCTCCTCGTTCTTATCTATCGGCTTTAGGATGGATCGGTCCTTCCGGGTGGAAAATGCTGCAGTATATTGCGTTATGAGCAGTTAGTATTGAATTACCTGCGGTGTACTTGCCAAGGATACGATAAGCGCTTTTAAATCGCTATACGTGACGTTTATCGGCGTGGCGTCTAGTCACCGTTTTTGACGCGTTATGTCATCTCGTCCATCCAGCGCACGCCTTACAACGGGCTTCCCTTCTTACACGAAAATTACGATCTGTGCTCGTAATACTACAATCTTGCGTTCTCCGTCAATTATACGAATCCGTTTTGCATATTATATAAAGTCTACCACGGAAAATGCATTTTCCCGTTATTCTGCGTATTAAATTGCAACTGTCATACTTGAATTCGCATCGAATTTCTGTCGTTTTCTATGAGAAAAGCGTACCTGTTTACGTGTATTTATATTTATATATATATAAAATAATAGAGGAAATGAGAGAAATTCAATATATATATGCGAAATTCCGTCAGCCGAAACACTATTAAATAACAAATATATCATTACAACTTGTCAGATAAGTCTACATTGCGCAACATTCTAATGAAGAGATCGATATAGAATAAATTCGTGTGACGGTTAAATTAAATTAAACTAGGTTTCTGTCTTTATTCAGAATGGGCAATGTAGAAAAAATAATTAAGAAAAAACTATATTTTTTAATAACACGAGAGAAAAGAAAAATTACGTATAGACTTACTTTGAGAATAAGTCGTCTATTGCGCGACCGATGAACCGAATTAAGTATAAGGACCTTTTAATATATTAATCGGCGGAATAATCGACCCGCTTACTTTTATCGGAGCACCCACTCGCTCTTGCGCGTAGAAAGATGCGAAATGTACCATAAATAAATTCATTATCTGGTCATCTTCAGCTGATCATCACGCGCGATCCATCCCCTCCTTTCTCGCTGTCGTCGTAATAATAATTTTACGAAACGGACCGAGTTCTACGACGGTTGCGAAAGCGTTTTCACGACCGACGAGGAGAGAATTCCGCATCGCGGGATCCTGTCCTGAAATATACCGCGCTCGTGTATGTAACACGTGTTTTCACGGCGTTGAAACGCGCGTGCCGATCTCGTTGTTTCCGAGGAAACGCTTGTTTTTGCTCCGATTTTTACGTAGCAAAACGCGATAAAATATCTAAAAATACCACAGAATTTTTTTTAGTATGAAAGAATAATAGAAAATATTCCTTATTAAAGCACAATGATAAATAATCAAGATCCTACAGAGACGACGCGTAGTTATATACGGGACTATTAAGATGCTAAATGATAACGAGTAAGTCATAAGATATTTTTATGGAGGAATAAGTAATTGACGAGTAATTAATTTCGATCGAAAAAAAAAAAACAAGATCTGATTTTAGAGAATTCTAATGTTTCGCGCGCAAATTACGCGATAAAGTATCTAAAAATACTACAGATCTAGAATTTTTTAGTATGAAAGAATAGTAAAAAATATTCCTTATTGAAGAATTTTTTTTAGAATTTAATAGAATATTTTTTAATTCGAAAGAACAGTATAAAATATTCCTCTCATTACGGCACTATGATAAATAATCAAGATCCTACAGAGGCGATGTAATGGGCGTAGTTGTGACACAATTAAGGTATTAAACGATAACGAGTAAGTTGTAAAATGTTTTCACAAACGAGAGATAAGTAATTGATGAGTAAATTAATCCCGATTAAAATAAAACGGGATCTGATTAGAGAACTCTAATATTTCACGTGCAAATTACGCGCGTAAACCGCCCTCCTACGTTGCTTATGGAATGTTGCATTATGCGTCGCGCATGCTGGGAACCACTGCAGCATCACCATCGTCGGCAATGCAAATCGGTATGAATATTCTCGAGGCCGAGAACGCGCGCGAGAAATGAATCTAAAAATTTCTACCAGAGCTCCGAAGAGTGTCTAATGCTAATTATGCACGTCAAGATGACACAATGCAACGCGCGGCGCGAAATACGTACTAAAAACCTACAACATGCACATCGTATGCGTATATCGTACACGATGCAATTGCATCGGGCAATAAATAATTAATAAATAAATAAATTTAAAATGAATAAGAAATAAAAATGAAGAAATTGCTCCGGAATATATTAAATCCAGAAAAAATGTATGTATACAATTTTTTTTTAACTGAACGAAATTTTCGAAATATGACACAAACTCATCGAGCGCGTTGCATCGCGACGTCCCGCCTCGAGATACGTACATCAGTATCGCGACGACGCACTTGGCGGTATCCTGCGGCGACGTCATCGAGGAATGATGCTGTTCGCTGGATCCTACCGGCAGTTTGACATCCAGACGGTGGTCACCCTTCCGCGAGTCGAGCCTCTACAAGGGAGATGAGACGCTCTTTCAACTCCCTCGGGACATCCCCCTTGGAGGGATACACACCCTCGTCGGCGTTCACTTCAATGCGAAATACCGTAAACACTGTCGCTCCGCGGATGGACCTCCGGATATCGCGAGCGTTTCCGGGAACGACGGCGTCCTCTTTCTCCGTCGAGGTGTATATGTATATATATATATATATATATATATATATATATATATATATAATATATATATATGTATGCCGTTCTATTTATGTATGTATAAAAGGCGCGTCGTGTGCGACACGAGAATTCCCTCTCTTTCTCTGCTCCGTGTCCGGTTTGCTCTCTCGGGAAAGCCGCAAATAGTTCTCTCGCGGATATAGAGGAGAGGCTGGGTTTTTACATATATATATATCTACGTTTCTTTTTTTCGACGAGAGAGGGACAGAGACGGCGGTCTCGCACACAATAAATGAAAAACGGACGTGGGGAGGCAGAGAGTGAGAGAGAGAGAAAGAGAGAGATGGAGAGTGCGAGAGATAAAGAGAGAGGAAGGAAAAGAGAGAGAGTGTGTGTGAGTACGAACACCCTTCCTCGCCTCCCTCTCTGCTCGTCGGCCCTCCCGCCTCTTCTGGTACTTCGATCGCGACCACCCGCGGGATGCTGTGTCGACTACTGCACGAGAGATGCGTCGAGAAAATCCCTACGCCCCTTCGTGCCCCTCCCGGCTTCGCGGGCTATCCTCGCTGCACGGGCCTGCGCTCTTCGGATGACGTCACACGCCGATGACGACGACGTCGCAACGCCGAAACGCCGCGGTGCACATTGGCCGAATTAATATTTTTTTACATCTAAAGTAAAAAAAAACCGTGTAGAATTAAATTATGTTCGCAATAGAGAATTATTACATATCTCGAGAATTAAAATATTGCCTGCGCTCTTCGGATGACGTCACACGCCGATGACGACGACGTCGCGACGCCGAAACGCCGCGGTGCACATTGGCCGAATTAAAATATTTTTTTACATCTAAAGTAAAAAAAAACCGTGTAGAATTAAATTATGTTCGCAATAGAGAATTATTACATATCTCGAGAATTAAAATATTGCCTGCGCTCTTCGGATGACGTCACACGCCGATGACGACGACGTCGCGACGCCGAAACGCCGCGGTGCACATTGGCCGAATTAAAATATTTTTTTACATCTAAAGTAAAAAAAAACCGTGTAGAATTAAATTATGTTCGCAATAGAGAATTATTACATATCTCGAGAATTAAAATATTGCCTGCGCTCTTCGGATGACGTCACACGCCGATGACGACGACGTCGCAACGCCGAAACGCCGCGGTGCACATTGGCCGAATTAATATTTTTTTACATCTAAAGTAAAAAAAACCGTGTAGAATTAAATTATGTTCGCAATAGAGAATTATTATCTCGAGAATTAAAATATTGCCTGCGCTCTGCGGATGACGTCTAAAGTAAAAAAAAAAAAAAAATTTGTATAATTAAATTATATTCGCAGTAGAAGATCCAAGTAGCAAACTGACGTCTTTAAACGTCAAAATGACGTTTACGCTTGATACCTGCGAATTATTACAGATCTTAAAATTAAAATAGCATGTATCAGAGGAAACGATCTCGGAATGAAAGATTCGCATAACGCAATAACAATAATTAAAGATAATAATCCACCGAAATCGGATGCGCACCGCATTATCGTTAAGAAAGAGTACTCACCACATCGTGGTTCACTTAATCTTTATTTCATATTTGTACACGCCCTTAGCATGCCACATACAATCAATATGATACAGTCCAACGCAGCCAAGGTAGAAGTAAAATACAAAAAATATATATATTTATATATTTATATATATATATTTATATATGTATATATACTCTACGCCGAGAGATATTATTGTTACCACGATGTGTGTGTGTGTGTGTCTGTGTTATAACGTTGAATATATTAGATGGATAGTTAGCTAAGAGTATAATACAAAGAAGAGTGCTGTGGATACGATAGGACACGTAATTCGGATTGAATGTGGTGCGATTTCGCGCGGATCGCAAGCGGGATCTTTCGCGCACTTGTCGATCTGTGTCTCTTTCTCTCTTTTTTCTTCTTTCTCTCTATCTCTTTCTCTGACCATGATCTCGATTAATAAAAACTCTCTCACTCGGTCAACTATATAAATGTATAAACTAAAAGAAAGCAAACGTGTGCTTTCCTAGAAATCGAAAATCACAGTTCGGCGCCATTTTATTCGTCCGTAATCTACATATACGCAGAGAAACGGAAGAACGAATTTATTTAGCGTCCAACCTTCACGCGAAGCATACTCAACGAAAGCGCAGAAGTCTTCTAGCCGGTTGTTGTTGTTGTTGTTGTTGTTAAGTATGGCATATGAGAAAGGTCCGACCGCGCGCGAATTCGGGAAATTTCTTCCGCAAACGTTCTCCGAGCAATCATCTAATTACGTCCCGTCAATTCATCGTATCTCGCTCTTATTTCGCAATTTTGCTCGCTCGTTTACAGCCGAGACCTCTTTTGTGAGGCCGATTGAACAAAAAAATTATAAACTATTTCTATCTCGGTGAGAAATGAAATTACAACAAATTCGCCGATTAACCCCGGGAGTAGTGAAAAATATCCCGCTAGTGAAACAAAGTTAGACACACTCTCTCGTCAGGAAGCTTAAATAAATCTACTTGAAAGTATAGAGAAGAGAGAAATTTATGTAAATAACAATTCTCTGTCGAAGATTGTAACATGTGTGAATCTCGTCCAACTGCTAGCGGGTTAATACTCTTAGATTTAATTTCTTACATAATCTGCATATACAATTCTTTGGCCGTCAATTAAAAGACGGTCGCCGGAAAAGAGATCTTTTCAATCAAACGAATGATTGACATTACTGGATGAAAAATCGATCGCTACTCCGCGGGTGACGGAATTTTTTTTTAACATACTGCTTACACAGCCATAAATTTTCTCAAACTCGGCACAGAGACGCCTTCGTCGCGATACTCTAATGCGCAGATGTAACCGGTAAGCATTTATGGCAGCGTTATGAGGCCTGCTTAGGGTATAGCGATCGTCGTAAAAATGTAAAGAACTTAATCCAAGAAACGACGAAAACGACAATAAGACAATAGTTTCCATGAGAGTCAAACAAATGTCAAGACTTGTCAAGCGGTTTTCTCGCGATCGCCGTAAAAAGGACTTCTTCGCACGATTTAAGACGAGAAACTGAAAAAATCGTTTGATCAATTGACATACGATGACTGTATTAACAATATAACGTAAATGAATAATTAACGTAACTCAACTAAAAATAAAATCGATACATATCGCATAATCTGACTTACTTCTCATCTAGGCGGGTAGCAGGAAAACAAAACGGAGAAAAAGAAAAGGCGGTGATAGAGCAGAGATTGTTCGAATATATACCATATTCTTTTTTTAGTTTATTATCAAACATAATCCAAATTAGGGAAAAGCAGACTCGATTGAAAAAAAAAATTATAATTGGCGCAATAATCATATTTTATAACGTAATTAAGTCTCTTTGCCATTTCACTTTTAGATTTTTGCCATTTAATTGACGTATCCCTCTTCTTTCTCATTTTTGCTCTATCACCCTCTTGCATCTCTCTTTACACAATTGTTTACGCGGGCTGGTTCTTATATTTCGTCAGAACACATGTGTACCCATTCGCGAGACTTTTTTCTCCGACCACCCCGTAGATGTGACATATTCTCTATAATTCCTCTATCTTTTTACGTGTGTGTGGAATATTTGTTTCTCTCTCTCTATATTTTATAAAATACATTAGTTTACAAACAACGTGGATTAAGTGTCGACGCCCTGCGCGGGAGTCATCGCAGCTCAGACTCGATCGTGGAAATTAAGGAGGAGCTTAGGAGGGAAACAGGGGAGTGTGAATTCGGGAAATTCGTGTGCATAACGCAAGTTGAGTTTGGAAGAACGGCAGTACTCAAGTTTCGCGTAATATATGTTCGGTCGCTACCGCTCGAACGTGCTGCGTATTCAAAGTTCAAGAAACTCTACTCGTACACTTCCTCATTTAATAAATTCCGCCTCGGATCGATTGTCAAGTCGTTCCACGTCACGCTCTGTCGAAGGGGATTGAATTTTTTTTTATATATTTATAAAAGACGTTTCCTGCGACATTAATTTCTCTATCGAACTATTGAATCGCGAAATTATTATTATTATTATTATTATTATTATTAATATTATTATTACAATCCGGCAAATAGTACACGAGCGTTTTAATAACGTGTCAACGTGAAACGATTTGGATATTATTTCTTAATAAGTTAATGATGTATACGGATGTATTTCAAGGCGCGACAGAAAGATATCGATGTGTTTTTCGGAGACGATAGAATTCTAAAGTAGCATTTCTCGACGATTTCCAAGTGGGATTTTCACACACAACTAGAAATTAATTACACATATTTAAACGCTACTATGTGTCGCGTATGGGGGGAACTGCTGGCTGAAAGCTGTAACGCTGTTTTATCTGTAATTTTTACGCAACAAGCGAAAACTACACCGACGAAACGATAAAAGCTCTCGATAAATTTGTAATTGCAATATTATCTATAGCCTATCATCTATCATCTCTTTTCAATGACGACAGATAACCACGGAAAGAAAAAGGGACCTCTTTTTTTCTCTCTTCGTAACGAGATCGTTTAACGGAGCTGTGCGACCGATTGGCAAAGACGTCGATCAAGAACAATAAGACTATCTCTTATCGCGCTACATACATATTTACAATTCCTCTAGCATTGCTAGAGCGCCTTTTTCCTTCGCGTCCGAAACGTGCACTAGCGCGTAGGAAGCAATAGGAAGGAATCTATTCAGAGAACACATCTTTTTCTGTCGCTCGACTGCTATAGACGGTAAGTTTTCTCATCGGAATACACTACTAAATAAATACACTGTCTGTAAAAACATTGATAGAAGCGTCGCTTTTAAAAGTTGCTTCATCGAAGCTTCAAAAGGTCCTTTCTCATATAGATATATTCGATATAGTGCGATAGTGCACGTTGCGGACGCATCTACATTGAAGCAAGACCAAGTCATCGAATACTTTTCATCTATCCGCTTTGCCTCTGTACAATTTTATTTTGTTGTCGCATTCGCCACATATTCGCGCTGAACGTGGAAAAGATAAGAGATTTTTATGAAGTTATCTTACGTAATAAAGATTTCAATTTAACCTTCTTGCAAACACGTCGCAGTCTATCTTTCGCCTACTCGTTAATTGATTTTGCCAGAACATTGTCTTTTTTTTTTTTTTTTCAAAATAAAGCTTGAAGCTATTGAACATATAATCTATATTCTTCCTGCAATTAATCTATTAATAATGAACGTTTTATGATCTAAAGCTGTAAAAAAATCAATCGACAGTTCCGTAATGAATTAATAACTAATAAAACAATATCTTAAATTACTATAAAAGCAATAGATTTTCAGCGACAAGTCGCTCTATTGATTTAAATATATATAATTCGAATTTTTCCTATTTATTTAAAACAATTTTAATTTTATGCTCTCTCTCAAAAAAGCATACAGTTATTATTAAATATTTGATTTGAAAAAGTCAGATTAAAAATTGTATAAAGACTATTCGATTCGTAATTGCAAAGAACTGTCGATCGACGAACCGACACGGAAAAACGTGTAAATGTAGGACAGTTCAATTGAAAAGTTCGAGAAAGGATCGATGACAATAGACGAATAGGAACTGCAAGAATACTGGCACAACGTTTCGCGTGCATCTGCCGTCGTCCACGTATACTTTTATATCATACGGCGAGGTAGGTAGGTGAAGATAGATGGAAATGGGGCGGTTCAGTATAGACTACTTCGTAAAACTTCGATAGACTTCGTTGTAGCACGGTCTTTACAGATTAACGAGGGAGGGGAAGAGCGTGGAAAAGATGTTGGGGAGGATAGGCATATGTATAACAAACGCATCATTTCCCTCCGCATCTTTGCGTTCTCACGCATTCGGAGTCGTCGCTATTCAACGACGACGACGTGTTCGGCTCGTGATTGATTAACAAATTGATAATCGAGAAAAATAACGAATGGCTTTACAACGTCAGTATATTCTGGGACCACAGTCCTCTCTTGCGGACCTTTGTCCTCTCGCGTCCCTACGTATCCCTTAAACAGAGAAGCACGTTGAGTTTTTTCTGCGCGAATCCGCCGTGAAAATATATATACGCTCGGGGAAGAGAGAGTATTACCTCAGAATAACCTTTTCCATAAGCATGGACAGGCGTCCTTCCGAATGATTGGGCGGAAGTAGGGACTTAATGAGTTCGCGGATAAGGGACTCCGTCATGCCTGGCGACGTGCGTTCCGCGGATTCGAAAGCGCCTCGCAATTCTTCTATAGCACCGCCATTCTTGCTACCGCTACCACCTTCGCCATTATTGTCTCTCGCCGAATATTGGTGCTTTCGTTGAAGCTGCAGAATTGCCAAAAATATGAATCATTGCCGTAAAATGTGTACATATATTATAATTCTATATTTATATGATTATAATTCTAATAATAATATACGTTTACAATTTTAATATGTAATTCATTGTATACCTCGGAAAGCAGAGGCATGACGACACCGGACAGAGCGACGCTTCGCGGATGCTTGAGTTCCTGCGAACTTCTAGGCCTCTGCTTATCCTCGCCGGGTCTGTGATCGGCCATCGAAGTGATGGGCACTTCCGGCTTGCTGTTTCTCCTCTTTTCCCGCGAGTTAAAGTCCCTACTGGCTCTGTCCCGATCTCTGGCTTCCCTGTCTCGTTCTCGCTCCCTGACACCTTCTCTATCTCTCTCACGACCGTCACGTATCTCCTTCGGTTCTCGGAGCGTGGATTCTCGGCTCGAATCACGATAGTCTCGCTCGTCTCGTTTCTCTCTCGTGTCCACCGGTGGTGGAGGAGCGGCTTCATGTGGTCGGGACTAAAAAAGGAATATAAATATAAGCATAAAAACAAGGAAATATCACTCATTAATGATGATCGATTGCATAGAATGATAACAATACCGGCGTATGTTTCGCTTGACCATCGCGCAACGAGTCTCTTGATTCGCTTCTGTAATGATTAAGCGTGGTGTCCTTCGGCGGTGATCGCGAAGCACCGTTTGCATGCGGTTTGCTTGGTTGGCTGTGATTGGAGGACCTGTGATTCGTGTGCGTTAGGGTCAAGGATGCAGGCTGCTCGTCCAGTGGCAACATAGGCATCACGGATCCTTTGACCCCATGCGGACCTTTCACCGTCATTATCCACGGCTCGTCCATGTCGCTGTCTTGCTTGGATTCCTCCCTGAACACCGTGTAATATAGTATGTTACAATTTACTACCGGACACGTAACTTATTATAGCCGCGCGATTGATAAATGGCCCCGAACTGGTTCTTTCTCCTCTTACACGTTCAAGATATAAATTTATTGTGGAATTAATGCGGCAGAAAAATGTTCTCAATGTACGTAACACACTGAAGATAACTGGCAGCCGGTTTTTACTTTCGTAAAAGAAACCGAGATACTCACGAGTCCGAATTCTCACTCTCGGTCTCCGACTCTTCGCTGCGCTGCGACTTCCACTTTTTGTACCTATCGATCAGGTCGATTAGGTACGAGTTCTTCTTCGCCTTTCTGATAAACTGGAACTTTAGCAGCTCCTTTGCTGTCGGCCTCTATATACAAGCACAATACAACGATCGATGAATAAAAATTAATCGCGTTTTCTCTCGTCGAGTTAGCTGATCTTGTAAATTCAATTTCTATTGTATTGTCTACATTGCTATCTTGTTCGAGTAACTTTTTTAGTAGTCGTAATAAAGGCATCAAACTGTTTAACAACCTCAAACACATTACTGAATGGACTAAATTAATCGACTCGTAACGCGGACAGCTATTTACGTTACGGTGCACTCACGTTTTCAGGGTCCTTATTGAGACAGGCTTCGACAAACTCCTTGAACTGTTTCGTGTAATTCCCGGTCAGCTGCGGTGGATTGTTCTTGGGTATTAGGAAGAGGACCCTCATGGGATGCAGCTCGCTGTTGGGAGGCTCCCCTTTCGCAAGCTCGATCGCCGTGATGCCCAGAGACCAAATATCAGCCTGCGGAATAATCACTCGTGGAGCTACTATTGGCACAGTCAAATGAAGCTAACTATGCGCTAATGAAAACGTGACCGCGCTACTTTTGGAAATAATTTTCTAAAATGACAAATAATGCGAGCGCTTCGAAGAAAAATGAAAAAAGCAAAACCGAGCACTAAATTCAAGTCTAATTAATAAAGAGTTAATTTTACATTTATTAATTTTATATATTTATTAGTTATATATATATATTTATATTTTATATTATATAATTATTAATTTTATATTTATATTTTATAAATATTTGATGGTAATAAATGATATAAAACTATGAAGTCACCCGATGATAATTAAAAAATGGTAATATTATAGGAATAAATATAAATAGATTTCTTCTTTTTTAGAAATATTTTTTTTTAATTTTCGATAATATATTAATTTACAATTTTTAATTTTATTACAATTACCTTGGAATCGTAAGCGGACTGTTTGATAACCTCGGGTGCCATCCAGAATGGCGTGCCGACAAAAGTGTTTCGTTTGCTGGTGGTGTTCGTCAGTTGACCAGCTACACCGAAATCGGCCAGCTTGACGTCGCCCATTTCGCTCAGTAACACATTTGCCGCTATAAAATTGAAAAGAGCATGGCCAAATAAATTAATGTTTTATGTACGAAATAAAAATACAAAGTATTAAAAAAATTATTAAAATAAATTATGTGTTATACACTCGAGAGCAAATGTTATTTTTCGCGTAAATTTATCACGAGGAAAAGTTATTAATAATGAAAATATAATAAATCTGTTTTTAAGGAGAAAAAAGAATGTGTCGCACCGCAGTTAATTTCCTGCGGAATTTAATCGGATGAAACATTATAATTAGCGTAATATTTAATGTCTTGCTCAAAAATTATCTTGCACGAAATCTCTCGGCGCCGAGGGTTAAAAGTGTTGATCATAAACATCTTTCGAGCCTTATCGAGCGGATGTACCTTTAATGTCGCGATGGAGCTTACGCTCGCTGTGCAGATAATCCAGCCCTTTGAGCACCTCGCGTAATATCACGGCAATGTGCATCTCCTCAAAGCTACCGGCCTTCATCAAGTCCAGGGCCGAGCCGCCACCCAGGTATTCCATGATGATCCACAGCTTCGTACCCTGTTGAGCAGAACGAATACGAATTCGATTGAGAGCCGCTGCGGAAATGCGTAATGTCATCACTGGAGCGATAACAAACAACTTTTTTAAGAAATATGTAACGTTAACAAAAAGCTGCTCGTTGGTACTCCAATAAGGACGCAGCTTAAGAAACTTTCAGCAATAATTATAGCAACTTTTTAAGAAACTTGGAACATTAATAAAAAGTGAGAACGCAGCTTAACAAACTTTCGGCAACAACGAGCAACTGTTTGAAGAAACATGGAACATGAACAAAAAGTTGCTCGTTGTTGCTCCAGTGAGAACGCAGTTTAAGAAACTTTCGGCAACAACGAGCAACTTTTTGAAGAAATATATGGAACATCAACAAAAAGTTGCTCGTTGTTGCTCCAGCGAGGACACAGGTTAAGAAACTTTCGGCAACAACGGAGCAACTTTTCGAAGAAACATGGAACATCAACAAAAAGTTGCTCCAGTGAAGACGCAGCTTAAGAAACTTTTGGCAACAACGAGCAACTTTTCGAAGAAACATGGAACAAAAAGTTGCTCGTTGTTGCTCCAGTGAGGACATAGCTAACAAATTGTCAATTCCAGCGATAAAAATCGAAGAGTCCCAGTTAATTAATCAAAATAGATTTATTTCGCCGAACGATCGTTATCTGGGTTGGACCATGAGACACCATTAAGGAAAATGGACCGGAAAGTATTGCGATAAACCGGCTTCCTGCTGCGTTGCGGTATTTCAAAGATATTTTCCAAATGCTCGAGGATTGAGCTAAAATTTCAGTCTATATGATATTTTTCAGAAATTACGTCAAAACTAATTATAAAAAATATTTAAATAATGTACGATTCGGAAGACAAGATTTTTTTACATCTGAGAGATAATCGCGTCGTCCGACTCGCACTCTACTGAGAGACAGATCGATTTGCAAAGTGACGATTAGTGCATTAAACAGAGCAACATACAGAGCTTGCGAGCACATCCTGCCACGAGAGTGAGCTGACCTTTTCTCGACAACACGGACAGCGCGATATGATTAATCTCGCGGTCGTTCCGCTAATGAAGATTCATGGCACCTCGAACAGTCGTAAATTATTGTCTAATATGAGGGTTGTTAAGGAAAGCGTCTCCGTTTCCTGCGCGGCCTATTAATTTTCCCCCAAGGTAACGCGTCAGCGCTGACCGGATCTTACGCGCGATAATTATATCCGACATCGATGACCAATCACTGTGCGACTTATCGGGTAAATTATACAGCGCGCGATGATGATGATAACGTCGGCGATGACGCTGGTGGTGCAACGCGTAAGGGCGATAAAACGGATGAGTTATCGCGCGTTAATAATCAGCACGGCCCGAGCTAGTGATCCGACCAAGATTTACGCCCTTTGTTCAATCGATTATAAAGAAATAATTAATTGATCCTCCTCCCCTCGGAGAGGCGTATCGGCCGCGGCCTTGCAATTACAAGCCACCGTGTGTATTATATACATCGATCTCCTCCTCGCCACACTTTATCGCCACCTCCCGTGCGAAGTGAAAGTTGTAGCGTTGAGAGAAACAAAACGCGAGCCCTTCGCGTGACGCGTCGCTATTTTAGAAAAATTCTACTAAAATTCTTCATACCCTGTACTAATCTCGTGTAAAATAGGTTTTGCTTAAATTAAGTTGAGTTTTTTCATATGTGTTGTAGCTGACCTGTTGAAAAGATCTAATAATTTTGTAGCTAAATAATGGACAGTTACTGAGCTAGTTAGTCAAACAACTCATAGGATCTGAGTTTTTTGTGTTTAACTGGCTGTAATTTTTACTAAGATAAGATCCAATTTTATATAGGATTAGTGCGGAATTTTTCAATTTATATGAAATCCTAGATGAAATTGAGTCCCGATAAAATCATGTTTTCTCATATGTTGTAGCTTATGATCTACTGAACAAAAAATGGTTTGAAGCTCAATAGATAGTTAATGATTTACAATCAATCAAACAGAAAAACTCGGGCTTTGCGAGTTGTTTGACTGACTGTAACTCAATAATTGTTGTCCATTATTTAACTATTGCATCTTTTGTTCGGCAGATCATAAGCTACAATATACAGAAATAAGTGTGAAAAAATTTAGGATTCTTTTTCAAAAATTAATGAGGATTTCTTACATAAATTTTATTTTAAAAAAATATTAATATTCTTTTCATTGGTGGAAAATATCCACCGCGTTTCATTCTTTTAATTTGTCTGAAATTTGAGAAAAAAAACTTAATTTTATATAAAAAAAAAACCCTTTTAATTTTTGACGAAGAAGTATCTCCTAAAATTTTTCGTAATTATTTAGATGCACCCTGTATAAAATCTGCTGATTAAACCGAATGCATCCATTTGACATAAGATTCGCGCGGTCACTTTATGCCGAATCATAATTCCGTATTACACAGTAAAATAAATCGTCGATTCAACCGCGAAATAAAACTGTGTATAAGATTGTTCGAGATAAAAATTCCGAGTTTACGGTTCCTCATTAAATGAATCTCCTTTCCCCGAAGGACAAGATAAACACACGGGAGATACTACTTGGTGCGCGAAAGTCAGATTTCTCGCATTCATCTATCCTTATGGAATATCCCGAGTATCCCCGAGAGAGACTCTACAAGTCTTGGCGCCGGCTTTCGCTCGACGTGCGGTTGACGCGCGCCATCGTTTTATGGCAAATAATTTTCGTAGTTTAAGCAGGTCGACCGGGGACACTCGCCAGGATGGCTGCCCATAAAATGGGCATCATTTATCACCGTCGGCCGGTCACGAGGCTCGAGTGCGCCCCACTTTTTCCCTCCTTTAAATCGTCTCGAGGTAGGTGGCCCTCGTTGTCGACGCAAAAGGGTTCGTTCAACCCGATTTCGACCGGCCATCTCTGCGAATTTCTATACGGGGAGAGGATCGCCGTGTCATTCCTCTTGTTCGATAGAATCCTTTGTCTTTCTTCCGAAAGAGACGGTTGGCCGATTTATCGAGAGCGCTATCAGAGATATCAATTTTGAGATAGTCGTGTATTAAATTCCCCAAGGGGATAATAAGAAAGTAAATTGCGCGCGAACAGAGGGTTAATCGAAAGGACGAAGGGGGTTAATGAGCCTTGCCAGAGCAAATATCGATCAAGACCCGCAGCAAAATTGATATTTATTTTTATTTCTATTTTCTACAAGATATATACAATATATATATTTCCCGCTTCAGCGACTTCTCGGACGTATATAAGTTTCGAGATTAATTTATATATGAACTAAGTGATCTCAAACCAAGAGATACCGAATAATTAATTTTGGTGCTTTGGCTCTGTTGGCCGATTTAAAAAAACATCATATTTATATATTTATACTTTTTTTTATATTGTTTGATTAATTATTATTACTTTAAAGGAGAGAGCAGCTTTAATTTAAACAAACTTTCTGTGATTTATTAAAATCCTCAATTTTGCTACTGAAAGGAAAGAAAGTATCTCCGAGAGATTAATGCAAGTTCCTGCACAAAGTTCAACGCATCATCATCAATGACGAACTGTAAGGGGTCACTTTACGTAACGGGTTACGAATTCTAGCATTGCAAGGGAGCTATTATTAATCGGTCAATTTCCTAGTGGCTTAGATCTCTCATTCGACACGATCCGAGAATAGATTGTCGCCCCTCGTCTAGTAGAAAGAATTATTTTTTCACCTCCACCTCTCGTCATCATCCGTTCGCGGCAATTATGGTTAATTGACGGAGCTCGGTAATCGGCCGCTTTCACTCTCGGCGAGTGACGACAGAAGCGCTTAATTTCAGACCTCTTTGGGGGGAGAAAGTCCGTTTGAATACAGTAATTACCCTATCGGAAATTGCGATCTTTTGTGAAACTAATCGACATTATTTAGGATCTTCATTGTACGCGAAAAAATTTCTAACGCAGATTTCTGAGAAATCACGAGCGCTCGAGTGAACTAGTATAATCGAAAAAAAAAGAAAAAAAAGGAAACAAAGCCCTTTAGAAATTCGGGGCTCCAATCGAATACGTCGACGAAGAGAAAAAAAACCACTGGATCGCATCGATTTGTTCGCGAACATGCTGCGATTTATCGACGTTTATGCGATTATTCGACGTTTTAGTTGCTCACGCGTGATGCCAAAAAAAAGACGGGCGCGTAAAAGTGAAGATTAATTCCGTCGCGTCGTCCATCAATGCCAACAACACTCCTGCCATTTCGCGAAACGCAGGAACAAAAGGACATAACGCGCGCGCCAAAAAAGCAACGAGAAGTTCGACCGGTCCATTAATCATCCATTCGCCGAGCGGCTCTCTTGTCTCTATTTTGCATGCCGCGTTGCATTTTGTAGGATCCACTTTCCCCTACTTCGACTCTCTACGAAAAATGGGAGAGATTCGATCCTCTAGACTCCAGTATTTTCACGCTGCTTTACATCTGTAATCTTCGCGACCTCGATCTAAAACGCTCCAGGTTATCTCTCATGACGACAACAACGACAACCTCCGCACGATAAAGCACAACATCACGTGCCACGTAAGGTCGCTAAGAGTTAAAGCACCCTCTTCATCGACCCGCTATTATCGGGGAACGTTTGCCAGCGTCGATAGCCGCTGACCGTAAATCTCGCCACAAAGTAGAGAGAACGGTATAAGAATCGCGGCGGAATTTTTGCCGGAAAAAATTGACACGCGACCTACTCTTGACGTTCCACGAGGCGGACGAATTTCACGATCGCGAACTGGAGATGCAAAGCTCGATCGACGATGATTCTGTTTGCGAAATACGACACGTACACCTACGTTCGCTATGGATATACAGGGTGTTTGACAGAAAGTGTCACACCGAAAATATATACTAGTGGAGCTCGTTATTTGGAGACGATTTTTCCTCGGCAAAAATGTCATCTTTTTTAGCATGTTCCCAATTTTTGCCATCGTGTATCTTTATAATTAAACCTTAAATGAAAAATTTATTAAAGTAAACTCTATTTGGAATTAATTGGAGACTGTGCTTTCGTTAATGTTTTATTTCCACAACGCTTAGCTTGCGAAAAACTCTTTATTTTCAATCGCTTATAACTCTTGGAAAACTATTGAAGCCTTAACATTTTTGCTGGGGAAAAATTGTCTCCAAATAATAAGATCTACTTGTATATTTTCGGTGTGACACTTTATGTCAGATACCCTGTATAAAATTTACCGATATCCATCGGTTCGAAAAGCGCGAGAGGAAACCAAGTGGCGAAAATACCGTAATTTCGTCGAGAGGCCACGAGTGCTCGAATAATAACCGGGTAATTATGCTCGTTCATTCATAAAATCTCGACCGCGTAGCCGGGTATTGTCTTTTGTTCGGAGCACAATAAACCGGCCATAATGAGGTAAAAGAGTAGAGAAGCATCGTGGATTTTCGTCTAGATATTATGAGCCGCGGATGGAATTCGTTCCGTAAAAATCTTTTCGTTACTTGTCACAATATACCGATAAAATCCTGCAATGACGTCAAAAAAATCTTACGCTCTTCCAACAATTTTGATTATAAAAAAAATGACAAGTTAAAACATTAAATAAATAAAATATAAAATATTAAAAAATTATGTATGTGCGCGCAAGCGTATATATGCTGAGTAATGAACGATAAACAAATATTATGAGTTACACGTGCAGAGTTTATTTTATATTAATCCGATGGCTACGACAGCGAAACAATATTTTTAGAAGATCGATAATAAAGCAATATTTTTAGCCGCCTCTCCAACGTGCGAGGTGAGAGGATATAACGAAAGAATCATAATGGGACGCCCTCATAATCAACGATACATCCGGATTGAGAAACTCGAGGGAGTGCCGCAAATAAGTATTACGATATGAATTTTCATACAAATTCCAAAGATTGCAAGCTTGTAATAAACCCGAAAAAATTCATACCTTCTACTAGGCATTTCATAAAGAAATATAATAATCGCGCACGCTATATATATATATATATATTTTTTTTTTTACAGAATCGTCTTGAATGCGAAATGCAGGTTTATCATCGCAGCTTCTTTGGAGAGAAATGAAAATATTCGAGGCACGCGAATAGCTCGAATCTTTTCGCGGTGAGAGAGCAAAGAGTGTAACAGAAAGCTCGCGCGAAGCGTTATAGAAACGCACGGTGGAATTTACATCTGGCTCGCGCTCTCGAAGCGAGGAGCGCCGTCGCCCGATAACCGTTGTTGACCGACTTGGTCTCGGTCTTAATAACAGTTTCCGAAGGTAGGAAAGCCGCGACGACGATCGAGGCGGCGGCCGCGATATAATACACCCGTTACACGATGACATCAGGCGCGTAGACGGACGCGTAGGCACCCGCGCGCCTTTGCCTTCCTTCCATCTCTTTTCTCTCTCGCAATAATCGTCGGGGATGTGTCATCGCGCATTATTGCAGGTTCCTGGCATTGTATACGCGTCGTGCGGAGGCTGGAAAAAATTTCGACGACGTGGAAGAGGCGAAACGCGGATGGGAGGATGTGGAAATGTCACGAAGTCTCGTCGCGCGCTCTCCCATCATTTATCAGAAATAGTATATTGTGTATCAAGTGCGGAAAGTTGACAATTGGTCACGAGTGCGACCACCCTACACGAGTGAACAATTGTCAATCCGCACGTGATACACATACTATTTTGTATTACAAGTGCAGGCAAAGTGACTTTGTGCGCGAGGTGGCCGATCGCACGCCGCTAGATGGCGGCGTGGGAAATCGGCCGCTTTCCGCACAGAAAACACGTACACAAAGTGCCACTTTGCCTGCACGTGTAATACAAAGATTATTTATATACGACATTATTTCTGAATTAATTCTTTCGCGATAAGGCGTGCCTCGTGGAGTCAACATTTTCACCCCACTCGTAATTATGTTAATCAGACCTTTATACACCTCCCGCGTCCTCGATGAGTATCGTTTATAACAACGTCGATCGCGAGCCTCGTAATTAGCATCATTTGCGCAATTATCTATGCAAACGCGGCCGTCGCGACTCAAATTGGCGAGAAAACGTATTTCGAGTCGAGAGAAAGAGAGAGAGAGAGAAAAGGAACGACTAACTTAACTAACGATCGTTAATGACCGTTTCGCGCGGTCGTTAAGGAAACTTCCTCTCGGCCAGGCAGGACTATCGAAGCGGAGAGAAGGGTTCCTTCATTTCATAAGTAATCATACTGGGCTTTTGCGCTCCTCGGCTGTGAAAACGACGAGGGAGGCGAAAAGTAGAAGGGCGTGCAGGAGTTAATCTGCTTCCTCGTTTTGTGTATACAATTTCGCGCGAGGTCGAAGAAACCGGTAGTCAGTCCTCCCCTTCCCTTTTTGCCGCAATTAACGATCCCTCAATTGTCGATAACGATCGCGTTGATTCGGTTTATTTGTTTCCTTCGCTGCCCTTCCCTAACGAGGGCTCGCAAAGTTTGTGATTTATTCGTTGTAACCTCTCAGAGCGATCGGTAGTTAATTTGTCGTCGCTATTACAAGTCGTTATATATTATGGAATAAAATGTAAAAAGTAGCGGCATTATTGCATTAATAAAAGTATTAAAATAATAAAATCTCAAACAAAAAAATAAACATAATTTACATTATCTACAGAAATAGAAATTATCTCTTTTCGTGAAAAAAATCCATCCATAAATTTGATAAACAAAGAAAAGGTATTAAATTGTCTGTCAAACTTATAAAAAAATTATAATTGAAGAAAATAATGATTTGAATGATACTCTGATACGTATTACTATTTCGTGAAAACACGAGCGAGCTCTCGCTCCCGTATAAAGAGAAAAAAAAAGCGACTGCACCTAAAATTGCCTAAGAGATTCTGGCATTCGTTTCAGAATGCGGACAATGTTTGCCCCTCCTTTTCCTCCTCCTCGTGGGATCACAAATAGCCCCGGCTTGTCGGTAATGCAACAAAACGACACGGCGAGGAAACGTGTCTCCTCTTGGCCAACGTCGAAAGCGTGTCGACGATGGCGCGAAACATAACTCCTCGTCGTGGTTCACGTGAGGAAAGACGAGACTTATGCAAACGAACGACCGTCCGTGACTTTTCCGCTCGATCTCGATCCCGTTGATCGACATGATTTTCCCGCAGCGTATTGCAGAAACGGTACAAAATCACGTTCACTCGAGAAGCATAGACGTCTTGTCTTTCCTTGCATTTCTGTGAGAAATGTGCGTACCATATATGTCTCATATCTCTGTGTTTTCATACATAATAGAAATATTTAATAATTTTTTTATCAACTTATATGGATTTTTTATTGAATTTTTCATGGGGAATGAAAATGTTCAAAAATGAAGAGATCCCGATTATTATTATTATTATATAATGTTACAACACGATACTACGGGAAGAGTCGCTGATATTTGCAACACCTTGTTGAACCTCACTCTCTCTCTTTCTCTCGCAGGAAGCGGAAGCAATGGACGATCCGATAAAGCCGGAAGCGATAGTTAACCGACCGTCACAACAAGCCCTTCCTATTCTTTGCCGTATGAAAAATGATAGAACGTAACGATGCCCGAGTGTCCTCGATAGCGAGCTTTTAGTTTTGCGTCTATAGCGATAAAATATATAAAGTGTCCCGGTCGGCATTTTATGCGGCCGATAAATGCAATTTGACGCTCATGATGCAACAACTGGATATAAAATTACTCGAGATGTTTTATCAAATACTCTTTTTTTCTCTCTCTCTCTCTCGGGATAAAATGTTTTTCCACTTACTTTGAGGTAAGACCCATAATACTTGGTGACGTATGGACTGTCGCATTGCGACAGCACCATAATCTCCTGCTGTATGTCCTCGATCTCATCTTCCGCTTCCTCGAGATCGATGATTTTAATGGCCACGACTTGCTGGGTCCTATTATCGATGCCTTTGAAAACCTCGCCGAAGCTGCCCTTTCCGATTCGCTCCTGTTTCGTAAATATCAGCTCGGGATCCACCTTCTGCAACAGAGAGAGATTCAATCGGTTATTACTTTTATATTAGTTATATAATTACTTTCGAAAGTCGTACGACTTTGTCTTTCTTTCTCTCGCTTCGCAATATCTCGCGTCATTTCCGTAAAGAGTAATACGGATCTTTTCATGACGCAACAGAGTATAATAAGGTATATTATTGAGAAATTTCGAGATTCCTCAGGCAATAGGCGAGACTTTCTTCGCTACAACGCGGCCTTCGGAGATTAATAAATGCAGTTATTCTACGAGCGGCAATGCAGTTCTCCTTGACTTCTTTCGACGAGATGACACACGATGTCATAATAATAGCTTATAGTACCAAGAAAATGTACAAATCGCGTTTATTTACCTCACATCAACTGAATAAATTATTTATTTTTAACAATGATTTATACATGCATGCATCATAGAAATCGCGAGTTTATATTTATAACAAATTAGCATCAACTTTTGCTGAGCAATTTAACAAATTCTCTTCTCTAATCCGCTGTTTATAGACTCGCGTACGAGTGCTTTTTTTCTTCGCGCTTGTAAAAGCTATTTGCACTGAGAGACAACATTATACTGCCGGGACATTAATAAATTACTGCGACTATTTTGCCGCGTCTTCTCTCTCCGACGCTTTTCCGCTTCCGCCCATTACTACCGGAAACGCACCTAAACACCGCAAGACTAGCGAACCTAATCTTTAATCAAGTGGAACGGTCACTTTACGATCCTAAGCGACGAAAAAAGAAATTCCAGAATTCAGTCTGCTACTGATCCTTTCTTATGGGTTTTCCTCTAGAAAGGTCGATTCCCCGTGGAAACCGCAGAAATGCGAGAAACGACGCTGGATTTTTTTTCACCGATTCGCGAAAAGATTACCTCGCAATAAAACAGCGGCGAGAAACATCGCGTCGAGAGAAAAGAACAAGTTCTACATTTATATATATATATATATATATATATATATATATATATATATATATATATAGGTATATATTACATAACGTACATAAATAAATTCTTTCTGCAATTTCAACACGATCTTTGTGTACATCTCACGCGAGAAACTGCGCACGAGGCAGTAAAATAGTCCAAAACGAATTGCATTGTCTTGAATGCAACGTTTAGTGTTTTACCCGTAACTAAGGGTTGCATCTCTTATGCAGTTTACGCGAAGCGTAATTTTTCTAATTTACTATAAATAGAATTAAAGTTCTTTCTCAAGGGAAAAAGGCGTGGCAAATCATCTAATCATAGATATCATTTATATTACAATAGCATTGTATGTATATGTAGGTATAGTACTTTTTGTCGCTATAATAAATGTCATGGAGATAAAGAGCTTTTTTTATACCCCTTCCGTCGAATCCTCCGGACAGTTATATTCATTGATAAGTATCAAAAGAGTGTCACAAACGCTAATTTATCTGGAATTTCCGGATTTAATAATGAATATGCACGTGAGCTTTTTATGCGAAGCTAACTCTTCATTTTCTTGCGCTTGCATTTCGCAGATCACAGTCAAAAGGTCAGTAAACTGAAAGCTCATATCAAAACAGCGAGATTAAAGCGAAGCTCCGAAGCCTGGGATGGGCTCTAAGGGCAATGGAATAAAAATTCGCGACCGTCGGTAAAATCCGGAAAATTTGCTTTGCAAATTCTCTCATATATCCGACGGCGGTATTTCGTGACTGTCGGGGCATTTTATCGCACCGATGGATTTAGAGGGCATTGATTCACGTCGGGCCTCAATCATTTCCATTTCACGCGATTTAGTGTCATTGACTCTCTTTCTCGACACTAAACTTGATAATCACACGAGCGAATCAAACAACGTAAAAAAGGAGGGAAGAAACAGTCGAAAATTACGCTGTCGCTATTTTTCATTACATTAGTATGAGATTACCAGTAAATTATTATCTAATTTCCGGATATGTATTATTGTAAATTAGTGCAAATTTGTGGTCGGCGATTTACGATAAAATACAACTCGCTACTTGTAGTAGCGAGTCACGTTAAGTCATGGTTAACCACGCTTGTGTTACAAGCAATATGTAATATTGTAAATATTATCGCGCTTGCAATTTGCGAGAAAATATTTGACAAAATTGTGCGGAACAAAAAGAGGAAATTGTTTAATTGAGCGAATTATTTCCGAATACAAATCACTCTGTCGGTGATGCAACAATATTTCACCAATTAACGAGACTGCAAAAAAATTGCATACCCAACTTTTGTCATCGGAAGCACACAGTTGACGCTGTATATGCAATCTGAGATTCGTGAACGACGGCGAGGGCCATCGAACGAGAGCGCGAAAGGCAAGAGACGAGAATGACACTCGACTCCGCATGCAATATTGCATCGTCAAGATGCACCGGGCGTCTCTTCTCTTTCTCAGTTGCTCTTTAGTGCGCGCCACGTTGCCTGAAACTCGCGACACAAATTCTAATTAGCGGACACCACAAAGAAATCCGCGGCATATAGATAACCGAAGCACCGGTGGTTCACGTTCGAGGAGCACAACAAAGGCATTTGCATCGCAAAAGCGACATATGAATATTCCTTATAAGAATTGTAATTCAAATTTTTTTTCTTTGCAAAAAATTCTTTTCTTCTTCGCATTATAATATATTTATTTATCGTAAAAAAAAATGAATTTTCTCTACGAGATATTGAAGAGAAAACATTTTATATATTTGTATTCGAGTTTTTCCTTTTTTCTTTGCAAAAATTATTTTTTCCTGCGCATTAAATGATATATTTATTTATCATAAAAATATAAATTTTCTCTACGAGATATTAAAAAAATTGTATATATTTGTATTCAAGTTTTTTTCTCTTTTTTTCTTTGCAAAAATTTTCTGCTGCGCATTGAATAATATATTTATTTATCGTAAAAAAATGAATTATCTACGAGATATTAAGGAGAAAAAAGTTTATATACAATTTGTATCGCTATAATGATGCTTCAGACATCCAACAAAGCCTCCCATATTAAGCTGGTTTGGGCAATGGCTCGCATTATGATGGACACGCCTACTCTAAACCGCATTAGCTATGCTAGCTGTATAAGCATAGGTTTCCTGTTGGGCGATCTTTGACCCATGATTAGCGGATATGATGAAATTGACGTAGGGCTACCAAGAGCGCTCAATTAATGATCATATGCGGCTTTATTCCATTGTACACGCGGTTATCAGCTGTTGCGTAATTTGCAAAATCTCGCTAAAATAACGTAACACAATAAATATCGCGATGCGCGCTGGTGATATAGTATATTAACCGTATGCTGTATGTAATTGGATTAAAGTAGTTTCTCGTCCAAAGCGTATGCTACATTTAGCATTAATTTCTAGGTAATATCCCGGGATATGCGGAATTAATTTAAAAAGCAAATTAACGTAAATATTTCCTGAAATATTATATTTACTCGGATTATGTGAGAGATGCTAATTCCTAAAGTAAAGTTACAGTTTTGTAAATCTGATTTGTGGAACTTCTGTATGAGAAATGTGAGAAATTAATGAAGAATAATGTTTGCACGTACAAATACACGAATTATTTGCTGCTTTATTATATTTCTCGATATATATGTCTCTCGTACAAATTATTCTACCTTAAATTCGTTGCGAACAATATTCGTTAGATATTCTCAAATTAATCTACACACACACACAGACGTATACGCTTCTCTAAAATCCTCTTTGCCTTTAACGCGTGATGAAGTTTTCCATTTAATATCACTTCACTGAGCATGGGACTGAAATAATTTGCCAGATAACACGAAGTTTGGTATCGTTCTGACACATCTTAATTAAGAAGTGTAACCGCGTATCTCAAGAATTTCGTCTTAGCCGTCCTTTTAAGAGAGCCAGGCTCAAATAGACTTGCCGCCTTTCAAGATAAACGTGCCAACTTCATCAGAAAGCTCAAGACTGTCAGACTACAACGAGATCGCATTAATTCCAAGAAGCTGCGATTGTTCTCCCTCGAGATGGGAACAGTCCGATACCTATTCGCAATATGTATTCCAGCGATTCAAATGAAACGATCCAATTCAGTTGTATAGTTCATCACTCGAAATAAGACATTTCTAAATAATAAATGGTAAATGAAACTTTTGTAACGATAAAGCAACAAATAAAATCGTTTTATTGTCAATTTGCGTAGCGTAAAATTGCTTCCGACTCTTGATGCAAATTGATTGAAACATTCGCGGGATTGCACTGGTTAACTCCACCATTATAATAAAAATTGCTATAGGTATTGCGGTTGAATAAATTTGAACGAAAAGTATCCCAAACTATGTACGTGCTTGAAATGCGTTGTTATGTGTCAAAGGAGAATTTCATTACCATATGTTTAAGTTACTCTTTGAGAATCTGAATGCATAACAAATCGGAAGCTCCGCCTAAATCACATCTTAAAATGCGTCGAGCGAAAGTAATGTTAAGTACGCGAGACTATGTGGTTTTTACGTTCGTTTTAGTCATCATCGATTTTCTTGCGTTTGCGTGATAAAATCCACTCGATGTTTCTTGATTAAATATAAATTGTTTCGTAGTTGTTTCCCAAATGGACACGAGATAAATAAAATTATTACTCAATTATTTTCAATTTGTAAAAAGAATTTCGCTTCGTTAAATTGAATAAATACAAAAACAAATTCCAATAAACCGCATAAATAGAATTCGTACAAGTGATAAAGAATGATGCGCAAATCTAAGGATTAAATATAAATTAATATTTCGCGTAACATTATTCTCTGTGAATTTAAAGTACTATATGAAAGCTATTACTGAACTTTCTCCTTCGTGTTTGCAAAATCGTTAAATGTATCCGCGAATTTATCGATGCGTTTTTGTTGCGATTTGTAGACGGATAGACGTAGACAATAGGCGCGCGAATAATTCGCTATAAATTGAAACCATCGAACGCGATCTCTGCGCGTTGCTTTTTTCACGTTTATACAACCGACAGAATTGCGATTGCCT